ACGAAAAGTTTAAAATTTAATTTAACCAAATGCAGAATAGTATGCAGGCCGTTGGACCTCTCAACTAATTACAAAGTGGTCAACTTAAATTTTAAATATAGAATATTTACTGTCACAAGAAAGTTTTCATTGTTTGCTGACATAAGTAAACTAGCAATGACAACGAAAAGTTTAAAATTTAATTTAACCAAATGCAGAATAGTATGCAGGCCGTTGGACCTCTCAACTAATTACAAAGTGGTCAACTTAAAATTTAAATATAGAATATTTACTGTCACAAGAAAGTTTTCATTGTTAGCTGACATAAGTAAACTACCAATGACAACGAAAAGTTTAAAATTTAATTTAACCAAATGCAGAATAGTATGCAGGCCGTTGGACCTCTCAACTAATTACAAAGTGGTCAACTTAAATTTTAAAGATAGAATATTTATAGTCACAAGAAAGTTTTCATTGTTAGCTGACATAAGTAAACTACCAATGACAACAAAAGTTTAAAACTTAATTTAACCAAATGCAGAATAGGATGCAGGCCGTTGGACCTCTCAACTAATTACAAAATGGTCAACTTAAATTTTAAACATAGAATATTTACAGTCACAAGAAAGTGTTCATTGTTAGCTGACATAAGTTAACTACCAATGACAACGAAAAGTTTAAAATTTAATTTAACCAAATGCAGAATAGTATGCAGGCCGTTGGACCTCTCAACTAATTACAAAATGGTCAACTTAAATTTTAAAATATAGAATATTTACAGTTACAAGAAAGTGTTCATTGTTAGCTGACATAAGTTAACTACCAATGACAACGAAAAGTTTAAAATTTAATTTAACCAAATGCAGAATAGTATGCAGGCCGTTGGACCTCTCAACTAATTACAAAGTGGTCAACTTAAATTTTAAATATAGAATATTTACTGTCACAAGAAAGTTTTCGTTGTTAGCTGACATAAGTAAACTAGCAATGACAACGAAAAGTTTAAAATTTAATTTAACCAAATGCAGAATAGTATGCAGGCCGTTGGACCTCTCAACTAATTACAAAGTGGTCAACTTAAATTTTAAATATAGAATATTTACTGTCACAAGAAAGTTTTCATTGTAAGCTGACATAAGTAAACTACCAATGACAACGAAAAGTTTAAAATTTAATTTAACCAAATGCAGAATAGTATGCAGGCCGTTGGACCTCTCAACTAATTACAAAGTGGTCAACTTAAATTTTAAAGATAGAATATTTATAGTCACAAGAAAGTTTTCATTGTTAGCTGACATAAGTAAACTACCAATGACAACAAAAGTTTAAAACTTAATTTAACCAAATGCAGAATAGGATGCAGGCCGTTGGACCTCTCAACTAATTACAAAATGGTCAACTTAAATTTTAAACATAGAATATTTACAGTCACTAGAAAGTGTTATTGTTAGCTGACATAAGTAAACTACCAATGACAACAAAGATTTAAAATTTAATTTAACCAAATGCAGAATAGTATGCAGGCCGTTGGACCTCTCAACTAATTACAAAATGGTCAACTTAAATTTTAAATATAGAATATTTACAGTCACAAGAAAGGGTTCATTGTTAGCTGACATAAGTAAACTAGCAATGACAACGAAAAGTTTAAAATTTAATTTAACCAAATGCAGAATAGTATGCAGGCCGTTGGACCTCTCAACTAATTACAAAATGGTCAACTTAAATTTTAAATATAGAATATTTACAGTCACAAGAAAGTGTTATTGTTAGCTGACATAAGTAAACTACCAATGACAACAAAGGTTTAAAATTTAATTTAACCAAATGCAGAATAGTATGCAGGCCGTTGGACCTCTCAACTAATTACAAAATGGTCAACTTAAATTTTAAATATAGAATATTTACAGTCACAAGAAAGTGTTATTGTTAGCTGACATAAGTAAACTACCAATGACAACAAAGGTTTAAAATTTAATTTAACCAAATGCAGAATAGTATGCAGGCCGTTGGACCTCTCAACTAATTACAAAATGGTCAACTTAAATTTTAATTATAGAATATTTACAGTCACAAGAAAGTGTTCATTGTTAGCTAACATAGGTAAACTACCAATGACAACAAAAGTTTAAAATTTAATCTAACCAAATGCAGAATAGTATGCAGGCCGTTGGACCTCTCAACTAATTACAAAATGGTCAACTTAAATTTTAAATATAGAATATTTACAGTCACAAGAAAGGGTTCATTGTTAGCTGACATAAGTAAACTACCAATGACAACGAAAAGTTTAAAATTTAATTTAACCAAATGCAGAATAGTATGCAGGCCGTTGGACCTCTCAACTAATTACAAAGTGGTCAAATTAAATTTTAAAGATAGAATATTTATAGTCACAAGAAAGTTTTCATTGTTAGCTGACATAAGTAAACTACCAATGACAACAAAAGTTTAAAACTTAATTTAACCAAATGCAGAATAGTATGCAGGCCGTTGGACCTCTCAACTAATTACAAAATGGTCAACTTAAATTTTAAATATAGAATATTTACAGTCACAAAAGATTGTTCATTTTAATGGGGGGACTTCTTTTTCCTTTGTTAGCTGAAATATCACATGATTAGAAAAATACAACACTCTGCGCAATTCAAGTACTAAAGACACGATGCACTCCATAAAGTAAAACCATCTAAGATACAAGCTAAAAAAAACAACATGCAGCACATGCTATTGACTAAAACATTAAGTTAGATTGGCCAAATCTAACGAAAGGTTTTAATCAAAAGTCAGTCAGTCTACACTCAACCAGTCAGCTGTGCCAGTTGGGTGAGACTGACTACAGTCCGTTCGCTGCCGCTACTTTTATCCGCGAGCCAGTTGGGAGGGGGTCGGTTGGGAGGTTTACCCTGCTTCGCGGGTAAATTTCCCTACTGTTGGGTAATTCTACCTACTAAGTAAGGAAGTCTCCAAACCTCCAACATCACATCATTCAGTGTCGAACCTTCAACGAAGACTGTTCACATATGCTAGCTCTGTTCTGATGTTAACTATGGATAAGCCAAGTACAATCACACAAGATAAACTAAAGAGAATAAAAGAAGATTTAAAGAAATCTACTACTACTAAAACTAGCAATTTTCGCAAGTCAATGTCACTACGTCTAAAGTTTCAGAAGCAAATTAAATTACCACTACATTGGAATGCATCAGGATCAAATTATTCTAATCAATTATCACCCGAAGCCATATGTCAAGAAATGAAGCTTCCTCAACTAGTAAGTCCAATAGAAACAGAAAAAGTAACATTTAAATATCTGTTACAAAACAAACATTATCAATTAGTAGAACAAAGACAAAACGAAAATGGTAAAACGTTTATTTTCTTTTATGACAACAAGTTTTTAGAGGTATGCTTTCCGACACGATTAAATGTGCCAAAGCCTCCTGACGTTGAAGATGGCAAACTAATTTATTTGATTCGCACAAGTCAGGACACATGGAATTGGGTATAATTCACTTAAAAAACAGTCTTTCTAAAGACTCCATTATATAAACATATTTTGACCACAAAGTCTGATCTGTCAAACTGTTTAACAAAATATAAACGATATTTAATTTTACTTTATTTTTTACGTCACGGTCTCCAGTACCCGTAATACACCACTACTTAAGTTTTTTTTTAAGACCAACAAATATTTACTAACATGGGGAAAATATATCTACTATTTTGGAACGTATTTCTGTATAAACATCTTTTAACCACAAACAGCTAACCTGCGACTATCTAACATAAGATATAAATTAAAATTGGTTTTTACAATACCTTGTGTTGTTGAGTCAATCGAGGTGTAGTATTACGATGGCATCAACGATGCAAACGATAGACCCAGGACCGTACAACACTCCGCCGCTATGTCCGAAAGCAAACTGTAGAACTGTGGATACAAATCCACATGGAGGTTGAGTAGGGGCATTTGACCTTGTTCCACTGCCCGCTCACTTTCCCTTCGCGGCCTCAGCCTAATTCACGGCGGCCGGTGACACAACCTTGCACCACGCCGCCGCGGGCACTAGTACAATACTGTAGGCTACTGTTAAATGTTACCGTCGACAATATGATTTTAACTCAATTTATTGTCTACATGTAAGCTGTGTTTTGTTAAAACCTTGGTGTAGCTGTTGGTTGATATTCCCAATACATTTAAGACAATTGCAAACGAACAAGTATTAGCTATTTAAACACACTACTGTATAGACAGCTGTTTCATCCCCTATCCATTACCACCAGCTCCTACCACCTGTATCCTGTTACCACCTGCTTGCTGCACTTGTGACGACGTACGCTAATTTTATACAAAACGTCAGAAGTGACGTACCACCGGAAATCTGCTATAACTACGCCATTTCCGCCCCTATCTTCAAAACAGCTGTTCGCGATAGGTCCACCAGTTCACCACTACTTATCTGGATTATTAAAAAAATAATATATATTTATATATTTTTCCAATTAACTTGCCATTATTGTCAAGTTTAGTGTCATGATTGCACACTGGAAATAATGTCTAAAGGCAATGAAATGTTGTGGTATTTATATTGGATATACTAGAATCATAGATTAAAGGAGTAGACATTGTGACATGTCTGCGGGTTTATTTTTTGACGAAACTATGGTTTAGAAACCTATACTAAGAATAATTATTCATTTTACTCATGAAGTTTTTACGATTAGCCGTACGTGGTCCTTTTTACCATTTACTTGAAAGAAACCTAAAACCTAAACCTAGTGTATCTCTGCCCATTTCACAATTCTTTATCGTCTGTTTTGTAATTATTCAAGAAGCACCTAATTCCCTTCATTGTTACTGCACCATACAACATGCAAACGGCGTTACTGCACACACTTATTAATACCGTTAATGCACACCGGCTCGTGAACATATGTCATGTATTTTATGGTTTTATTTTACAATTCCTGTTTTTTTATCCCGACAAGTTTTTAATAGTAGGTATCATTTTTTTCAGGATGAATCCAGAGTACTAAGTGGGAAGACCGGAGAGAAGAAGCGATGGATCCATGACCCTAACAGTAAGTAGTTACACATTGTGTCTCAGTTTAGCTTTAGTTATGCTTCTGTTCATAAGGTTAGATAACACAGTGTTCTCACTACCCAGTACAGTACGTGACTCACGGGAGGTTCTCAAGGTGTTGTCGTTGTTGCCAGTCTCAGCTCATGTTTACCTCGACTAAGCTGAACACTGATAGAATGTTAGTGGTTCACAAAAACCCAATAACAAAGTGTTCTCAATACCCAGTACAGTACGTGACTCACGGGAGGTTCTCAAGGTGTTGTCGTTGTTGCCAGTCTCAGCTCATGTTTACCTCGACTAAGCTGAACACTGATAGAATGTTAGTGGTTCACAAAAACCCAATAACAAAGTGTTCTCAATACCCAGTACAGTACGTGACTCACGGGAGGTTCTCAAGGTGTTGTCGTTGTTGCCAGTCTCAGCTCATGTTTACCTCGACTAAGCTGAACACTGATAGAATGTTAGTGGTTCACAAAAACCCAATAACAAAGTGTTCTCAATACCCAGTACAGTACGTGACTCACGGGAGGTTCTCAAGGTGTTGTCGTTGTTGCCAGTCTCAGCTCATGTTTACCTCGACTAAGCTAAACACTGATACACTGTTAGTGGTTCACACAAACCCAATAACACAGTGTTCTCACTACCCAGTACAGTACGTGACACACGTGACTCACGGGAGGTTCTCAAGGTGTTGTCGTTGTTGCCAGTCTCAGCTCATGTTTACCTCGACTAAGCTGAACACTGATACACTGTTAGTGGTTCACACAAACCCAATAACACAGTGTTCTCACTACCCAGTACAGTACGTGACTCACGGGAGGTTCTCAAGGTGTTGTCGTTGTTGCCAGTCTCAGCTCATGTTTACCTTGACTAAGCTGAACACTGATACACTGTTAGTGGTTCGCACAAACCCAATAACACAGTGTTCTCACTACCCAGTACAGTACGTGACTCACGGGAGGTTCTCAAGGTGTTGTCGTTGTTGCCAGTCTCAGCTCATGTTTACCTCGACTAAGCTGAACACTGATACACTGTTAGTGGTTCACGCAAACCCAATAACACAGTGTTCTCACTACCCAGTACAGTACGTGACTCACGGGAGGTTCTCAAGGTGTTGTCGTTGTTGCCAGTCTCAGCTCATGTTTACCTCGACTAAGCTGAACACTGATACACTGTTAGTGGTTCACGCAAACCCAATAACACAGTGTTCTCACTACCCAGTACAGTACGTGACTCACGGGAGGTTCTCAAGGTGTTGTCGTTGTTGCCAGTCTCAGCTCATGTTTACCTCGACTAAGCTGAACACTGATACATTGTTAGTGGTTCACACAAACCCAATAACACTGTGTTCTCGCTACCCAGTACAGAACGTGACTCACGGGAGGTTCTCAAGATGTTGTCGTTGTTTCCAGTCTCAGCTCATGTTTACCTCGACTAAGCTGAACACTGATGCACTGTTAGTGGTTCACACAAACCCAATAACATAATGTTCTCACTACCCAGTACAGTACGTGACTCGCGGCAGGTTCTCAAGGTGTTGTCGTTGTTGCCAGTCTCAGTTCATGTTTACCTCGACTAAGCTGAACACTGATACACTGTTAGTGGTTCACACAAACCCAATAACACTGTGTTCTCACTACCCAGTACAGTACGTGACTCACGGGAGGTTCTAAAGGTGTTGTCGTTGTTGCCAGTCTCAGCTCATGTTTACCTCGACTAAGCTGAACACTGATACACTGTTAGTGGTTCACATAAACCCAATAATACAGCAACAGGTTGAGATTTACTATGAAATACATACATATTGATTGTATATGTGAAAGAAATCAGTGAGTGTATTTCAATTCAAACACGGCAACGTTTGTGTATTTGCCACAGTTCGAGCGAAACAGGATATTGCGTTTAGCCGATGTTTATTGCGGCGGAAGACCAAGTTTCTTGTTTCAGTTTCTTTCCTTGCTTGTTCGATGATGTATGCGTAACTTCATTTGTTTTTACAAACACGTGTTAGATCCTGCATTTATTACCTCCATTTATTACCACACTGTTGAATGTTTAAGTTAATTAATTTACATTTATATAAGGTATTGTATCGCTTTTCAATCGGCACATACTTTTTCTAATGAAGACAAACCTTTTCTTAATATCGCTTATTAGTCCAGGAGCAAGTACGTTTCTTCATTTTGTATTTTGTGTTTATTTAAAGGAACTGTTCTAACACTGGTTTTCTCATTATCTAATGCTAATAAATATTCTAATTAATTAATATTCCAAAAATCTAATATCTGGATCCAAAAAGACTACGCTTGGAATCAAACCACCAACCTTCGCATTTGAAGGCCATTACTATTGACCACTCGACTACCCACTCAGACTATTTTTGATCTGAGTTATATTGAGAATATATAGGATATGTAGCGGAGTGAAACAGTATCTACAATGATGATGTTTCGACTGAGAATTGTTTGTTACAGAGTGTATAACACGCGTAGTGCGATATCGTCACAATATTTTGGTAATAACACTGTTAAAAGGATTCAATTAACGAAATGAAAAAAACATTAACATTAGCCAAATCCTGCGAACAGGAAAATAAGTGCATTTCAATTACGTTATCAATACAAAAAGTATTGAAAACGCGGTAGAGGTAAAAACGTTTGAATCCTTTAAATGCCTTAACTAGTTTCAATCGACTTAATTGGAGGCAGTTTTATAAGTGGGTTATCGATGCAACTAAGTTAAAACCAATAGACAGTCATTAGCAATGCACACAAAGGAAGCATGGCCACTTTGTCGAACTAATAGCATTGAATAAAGTTAATGGCAATGGTGATATTGGTTGGTGATAAGTAATAGCGTCTTCCAATTAGATTAATGTCTGAGGAGAATCATTAGAGGCAGTAGAGGGGCGAACTACTGCTGTACTTCTACTGTGTTTATTACTAATGGTGTGTAGGAAGTGTTTGTCATTACAAATTCATGTTTCCACGTCGCATTGAGTTCTTTATCGTGTTCTCCCATCACAGTGGTTATGCCGCCATCTTTGATAACACTGAAAACAATAAAAACACATCCAACCTTATTAATTTTTGTACGTAAACCGTAGAAATCTAAAAAAAACGAAAGTACTTAATTTAGTTTTTAGACCCCGATCCATTGTGAATAAATAAACAACCAACGCTGTTTGCGATCCCTCGGCATTTGGCACTTTTTCGAAAACGTACTGTTCTATAGTAATAAGAAAGTTTACACTTATTATATGCATATATCATTCTAACGAGGATGTGTTACTTACATAACCAAACCTAATCATTGTTATCAAATAAACCCGCACTCAGCAACAATGATTATTAAAAATAAACGGACTAATATTTATATCAGAAACCTATTGGTGTTTGTTTATTCTATTGTTTAGTCTATAATGTAAAATGAGATTCTAATTGACTTACTACTTCAAGTTGATGTTTCAAGTTAGTCAAACCAGTATGTTCGCTAGTTAACCGATGTTCTCATACGTTACTTCCACTCCCCCTCCTCAGCCCTTCGTAACTACATTATGACGTCATCACCTGTACATTTTCTTCGCTCCTGCCAAGTTAATATTTAATTTCCATTCTCTTTCTCCTCAGCCTAATCTCAGCTTCCGCACCGCTGGTTCGCTGTCACTCCCGATTTTCTTTTCATTTTTTATATTTCTTCGTTGCGAGCACCATTCATCATTGTTGCAGACTTCAGTGCTTTTGCTTGGAAAGTATTAAACCGCTCTAATTCAAATATTGGGAAATTCATACGCCCAATCTTATTCTAATTGATACGAAGACGTACTTATGCCAATTTCAATAAATAATATTTAACCTGCAATAGTTACAATTACAAAGTATAAGTATATGTTAACGCTAACACGACGACTGTTTCTTGCATATTTTAAGTAGGTACCATTGGAGTGTAAAAATTATTTATAAGTTTAACTATGATTTTAAAAAAAATCAGTATCTTTGTAAATCCGAATCCCACAGTAGGCTACATAACTTGGAAATAGGTTACTAAAGGGTAAGTAGGTTATTAAAGGGAATTTCCCTTCGGTGTGACGTTAAGATGAATAATTGTATTAATGTTTTTGGAAAACTTATTAACAACACTTATTCAAATACTAAAATGTAAATGTAACCATAATACCACCACAAAGAAGCAAATAACCCAGATATTAGCAGTATCAATTACTCAGACTCCTGGGATTTATTTTTATTTTTTAAATATATTTTTACCTTGTAATATCCTTTGAAGTAATCACGCACTACGTGTTACCCATCTGTGGTGACGGCCACCTCTTACAGTGTCTATAATACAATTCATCATATAGAAAATGTAAGATTAAACTCAGAACAGACGTTGACTAATAAATACATACAACTTAAAAACACTATACATTGTTCGTTTTCACTTCGCGATACGATTACTGCCTACGTTCCTATAGTCTGTCAGCCAAGCGCCGGTTTTTAGTTAGTAAAGAGTCATGAACGATTTTCTGATTGGATAATTAATCAATCTTAATTCCATTTTGTGTATGTAAAAATGTAATCTGAACTAACAATACTCAGTTTGTTTAGCATCGGAAACGTTATCTTTAGTTGCATGTAAAATTTTAATTTTAAATGTTTAAGTAAAGACGGGATAACAATTTAAACCAAAGAATTAAGTATTGCCCATATCCTGATTTTATATTATAAACATTCCAGTAGTTTACCTTAGATTGTGGTTCCGTAGTGAATGACGTCATAAAGTGTCAATAAAATATGGCCGCACACATCGCAGGATTGCCAACTGTTCCCGTTAATGAAACCCTTGCCTCTGTATTCTGTAGTACGGACGTTTATCTTTATCTCATCTCGTTTTTAATTTCGCTACAAAACAATCAGCCACATGTTTATGAGTAACGTGACAAATCCTCAATAAACTACTTCAAAAAGGTTGTGTTTCAAAATTTCATAACTCTTTCGT